AAAAAAAAAAAGAAAAAGATGAAAAAAGAAAAAAGGATGAAATGGAATGAAAAATATGGAAAAGAAGGAAATTCAAAGGTGGATGAAATAGGAAAGAATTTATAAATCAAAAATCGAACTTCTCATTGTCGCATTTGTTTTTCAAACATCGACTCCTTTCAGCTCTTATCATATCATTTCTCTTTTGGTGTAATAACTGAAAAAAAGGAGAAAAAAACACAATTCCCTTTAAATGTATCTGTTTGATTTATATTACATGTTTTGACAACATAAATAAATTTCATCAGACAGATAAATGATGACAGTTAATAAAATTTTTGCAAAAGTCACAATATCATTCAATTCAATCATGAATGAATTCTGTTTAAAAAAAATTTTCAAAAGAGCTTATATTTATTATTGCTGCAATAATCTTTAAATATTATGATGTGATTTTTTTTTGTTTCCTTATCATATCAATAATCATAGAATCTTAATGAATGAATATGAGATTATAAATCATTTCATAAATCTGAACAAAAAAAAAGTGCTAAATTAGATTTATTCTGATAATTTTGATGATCAGAATATTGGCCAGAATTACGTATGTTAATTTTGCCTGTTGTGAATCAATCGTCTCTGAATTTACTTTATCAGTGTTATCCAACTGTTGTCATCTTTCTTTTTTTTTTTTTTTGGAAAGAGAAATTATTTCATTGAAAGAAAAATTAAAAATAATTTTTTAATTTTAAACAAAATTTCCATCTTTGTTGACTTTTTATTACGTTTTATCATTGCCATAAATTTAATGACAGAATTTTATTTCCTTTTTTTTGTTGTTTTTTACAGATGGAAAATCCAGGATTTGGAAATGTGAAAGAGTCAGGAGAGGAAAGAGGTCAATTAGCAGGAAGAGGAGGAGGAGGAGGAGGAGGAGGAGTGGTACCTCGAGCACAACAACTCCAGGGTTCCTCAGCAGCAGCAGTAACACAACAGATCATCGGGTCATCATCATCATCACTATCTTTAATAAAACCATCAACAACAGCAACTACAATTCAAAAGCAAGTAGCAGAAGGAGGAGGAGGTGGAACTCGAGGTGCGGTAAGGGTACGTCAACGCCCTCATATACCACCAAAACCGCAGATGGACACCGTCAGATACAGCATGGCGAATGTACAAGGTCAGTTTTTTTCCTTCTCTCTCTTTCTTTCTCTCTCTCTCTCTCTCTCTATCCCTCTCCGTATGTGTGTGTGTGTGTGTGTGTGTGTGTGTGTGTGTGTGTGTGTGTGTGTGTGTGTGGTGTACATTAAAGTATGTTTAGCTATTATTAGCGAAAGGAAAAGGAAGAAAGAAAAGATGAATAACATATAATGAGTAACAACAATTTCCTGAATGAAATATTGTTCATTTATTAATTAGAATCATTGAAATATTGTTTACTGATTAATGTTAGCATCATTTCCCCCACATTTTGTTTTATATTCAAATTTGTATGTTTTATTTTATTTACTTTCTTTATCCGTAACAATACTTCATAAATGTTAAGTATTAAAAAAAGAATGAGAAATGAGAAGTTGAAATGTAAAGGTGAGAGTTTAAAATAACCGATGGATTGATTACTTTTTTATAATATTATTTTTAATAATCTTACTGAATCAAAAAGTTAGTTATTAGCACAAAAAATATCAGTTCAATTAAATTTCATATTTTAGGTGATGTATAGTGATTTCGTATTATTAATAGATAAGTACAATAATTCGGAATATGATAATCTTAACACACACACACACACACACACACACA